TATATTGTGTTTCCAGAGATCATCTAATGCGTTCCTCCTTTGTTTGGTATTTTCCAGCGCTGGAGTCTCTGTGTCACTCTTTCTGGCAGTCTTCCTTAGTGCCTTCATGTGTGACGGTAACTTACTCCCGATTTGGATGTTAGGCGTAGATTTGTGTGCATTCGTCGATTATAATTGAGGGAGGAAGCAGTCTGCGCGCACTCGCGGCCACGATTATACTACGGCTACAAACGGTATAGTGTTTCCACAAGTGTTTTCTGAAACAATTGTAAAATTTTCTACTATTACTTGTCGGCGCTGTTGTTGGACTGTTCAGTATTCTTTCAGATTTTTAGTAAAACGTCTGATTTCATTTCAAGTTTCGTTTTCAGTTCAACACAAGATCCACGATGAGCATTGAACTAATTCAAAATATGTTTCTAAGTTGTGGTTTTGGTCGATGTCATTTAGCGTTAAGTGGTTACCGGAGTCTTTGAACATTACAAGGAGAAAGCTGCCGCTCACCTTGGCACATCTGGTGAGAAATTACAATATGGCTCCTCTGAGCTTCAGGCCGGAAGATAAAGATATTTTGTGGCAGAAATTGATTGGTTCACAATGCGCCTTACTACGAAATTTGTGGATACTCGTAGAACCCTCAAGTAATAATACAATATGACTGATTTTCTTTCTTGAACATAGGGCGAGCGTCTCAAATAAGCTTACACCGATATAGGAGCCGTTGCTCAAAACATAACCATCTCCAGTGCCAATGACATTGCCAAGAATCTATCAACCGTTTTCGCGAGTATTTACTCGTGTCAGCGTCTTACGACCAAAACTAAGCTTCGCACTTAAGTTTAATCTACATGTTCTGAATGATTCTGGCCTTCGCTAGTATTGTGCGGCGCCAGCTTTATTTAGGACCCCCACATCCTTGAGGATTCCAATCCATAGCCAGTTTGGGAAAATCATGAAATCCCCTAAAAAGCTTGAGACCGATCTAGTTCAATTTGCGACGTCTTGTATGGAATCTAATAAGAGTTTTGTAACAGCGTTCCAACAATTGCATGTTGGAGATTTTATCAGGCCAGAAGATGCCAAGGATAGACCGTAGGCAGAGGTTACCGAAGAAGATTGGATTTGTTGTGAGATGTTCTTATTGACATCATGACACACAGCCATGTAGCAGCATGGGATTTTTTAAATATCAAATACTTTGGCTCCCTCTGTATTTTATACCATGGGGAGTGCTCTGAGGAATTGTTTGAGATGATCCCCTCATCTCCTTTTTATCATTGCGATGCGCCCACATACATCCCTATTATCTGGTTTGTTCCATGGGGAGTGCTCTGAGGAATTGTTTGAGATGATCCCCTCATCTCCTTTTTATCATTGCGATGCGCCCACATACATCCCTATTATCTGGAACCGCTGCGTTCGTCGACAGTGCGTTTCCAGAGGTCTTTTTTGCCACGTACCATCCGGCTGTGGAATGAGCTCCCCTCCACGGTGGTTTCCCGAGCGCTATGACATGTCCTTCTTCAAACGAGGCTTGTGGAAAGTATGAAGTAGTAGGCAGCGGCTTGGCTCTGCCCCTGGCATTGCTGAAGTCCATGGGCGACGGTAACCACTCACCACCAGGTGGGCCGTATGCTCGTCTGCCTACAAGGGCAATAAAAAAATATATGAATCCCCCCCATAAAATCGGACGTTTCATGTTAACTCCAATGTTTATTTTGGTCCGTAACACAAGACAAACACAAGTGCAGGCAACTACCACCGACCCACATAGGCGCAGGGGCCGATCAGCTTATCGTCTGTTGATAAAACTTTTACTGCCTACTACGCCTCGGAGCCGGATAAGCGCGCACCATGAAATCGTTGTAAATAACGCTTATGACGTACGCATAGCTAACGTAAATGCTTTTTTTTAATATTCTCTGTTTAGCTTACTGGTTCCCCAAAATAATCAAGAAGTTTCGTTGCTGAAAACTAGTAGAATATAATGAAAATTTAAGCTGTAAAAGTGGTATCTTGTTAATCACACAATACAGATGATCACATGCTCATAGATTTTGCGGGAATAAAGTATAGTTTCTAAACCAAGACTTAAAATAATGCAGTGGCTTGTCGAGAGAATACTTTTTTTTAATTGCTTAGATTGGCGGACGAGCTCATGACCTATCTGGTGTTGATTGGGTACAGGAGCGTATAGACATCTGCGATGTAAATGCCGCCACTCACCTTGAAACATGAGTTATAAGTTTCAGTTTTTACTGTACAACGGGGTAAGGTAGCAACCCTCCAAACCGAGAAACAAAACTGCTTCACGGTAGAAATAGGAAGGGTTGTGGGAATTACCGCTCCAAGATGTGCTACCATCAGTTTTGCGATATCCTTGAAAATTAATGGCGATTATCGATTTATGTGTTCGGGTTTTTTTTTTTTTAGATTTTGCTGTTATTGTCCAACGTTTTCTATAGTACCTAAGTGAAAGTAAAAAGATGAAATGAATATTTTTGACGACAAAATGGTCTTGGTCCGGCACAGTTTTGGCGACACTGGTCTTTTTAGTGCCGTTGATGGCAGATGAGCCGCGGTTCACCTGATAGTGAGTGGTCACACAATTATTGACACCGTTAATATCAGCCAGGCTACTGCCTACCGTCTTACATATTCTAGTATGATTTATTACGTCCGCAGAACATCTTATCACTGTATACCAGCTACAATATATCTAGTTTCAAATATTTACCTGAGTCCATAGACATTACAATATGAACACAGTCACATGTGAACACACATTTCAATCCGTCTTGACTCATCACGCCGAAGTGTCAAACGTTGGTGTAATTAATAAATGACGTATGATTATGTGGTTCATTCAAAGCATATTATAAATACGACAAAAATGTTTGCTAGCTTTTCCTTCTTTGACATAGCGTGAAAACACCCATGAGGAGTGTAATCATGAGTGAGAAGAAGTAGCTAGACACGAGCAAGTCATGATTGATATTTGACTGTCGATCGCACACTTTTTTAGATAATTTTTCTAACTACCCACTCATACAGGGAGATGTTTCACGAAACGTTTGTCGTTTTTCGTTAGACCGCGTAGATCTAGATCGAAACCGCAGGACGCATCTAATTGGCATTATTGCTAATCTGAAATATATAGGGGCTTTGTAAAGCTTTGCTATGAGAAAATACAAAGGATTATTCATTATTTTAATGTGTTACGCGGGAATGTTTCGATCTTAAAAACGCAAAAGACTTCGTCGAAGATATATTTTTGAAATACTTAAAGCATTTAATTCTTGTCAATTAAATTTATTGTAACACAAATCAATTTAAAAATTACATTGGTTATTTCTTGGCACCTTTCATTTAGAAAAAAAGTACAACACTATTCCGATGGGGTTTAATTTTTAATATTAATGCGAGAGTAGGCGCTTTTTTCTCTCCTGCATATTCCTTGGTAGCCTAAGAGGCTATTCCAGCTACGCCCTGAGGGGTAGATGAGCTCACGGGCTCACCCTGAGAGAATTCGCTAACACTAGCCCTAGCAAGAGCATTGCTTCTTTTTTTTTCTTTCTTTCCTAGGCTGATACCCTTGAGAGGCTATTTCAGCTTCGCCCTAACATGTAAGTGAGCTCACGGGGCTCAAGCAGGAGTGTTGCTAATACTGGCCCTAGCAAGAGTAGTGTTTCGCAGAATCTACCACCGGATCGGAAACGCGACCCATTGAGAAGATCCGGCGAGAAACTCAGTGGGCTGTGTCTGAGGGTTAATTTACTCGTCGAGCCCTTCGTCGCAAGCGACGGGTTCGACAAGAACGATGACTGGTGCTTGAGGTACCTAAAAGCACCGTTAGTGGATCGGGAGGATCCGAAATGACGTGTTTGGAGCGACGTCGACTGCTTTCCATTCTTTCCGCAGGATCGGGAATGTAGTTACCGGCGGCCACGATGAGAGGGTTCTCGTGTCGTGCCGCTTTATCGAAGTGGCGCATCGATGCCGACTGCAGATACTTACTGGTGGACTCTAAGTCCAGGTCGTCATGGAGGTCGACGTTCCTGACGAACCTCGGAGCTCCGACGGCTATCCTGCAAAAACGGGATTGAATGACTTGGAGTGATTTTATGTTAGTGCGGGCCGCGTGAGCGAACACTACCCTTGCATAGGTCATGACGGGGCGTATGCAATTTTTGTATAGTGTCACCTTATTTCTAAGGGACAGTTTACTTCGCTTGCATATCATCGGGTAGAGCCGAGGAGCAGTGCTTCGCAGAATCTACCACTGGATCCGAATCGCGACCCACTGAGAAGATCCGGCGAGAAACTCGGTGATGAAAGGTAGCGAATATGAAATATTAAAAAATATATGCAATAGACATGACTATGCATTTTAAAATTGATATGTGAAAATTTAATTAAAAGTTAAAACTAATACTTAAAGTAGGTAACTGTAATTACAATTTTAATCGTCGTCAACAATGCATGAAGTAAACAGAAACATGGCACGCAGTCTCTTATCAGGTACCACAGAGAGAGGGGGGTAATAACTACAACGCTAATAAAATCTTTATTTTAACACGAAATTAGAATGTTTCTAAGTTTTAGCGTGTCAGAAAAATTATTAAAATCATTTTTACGCTTTACCTTTACAGTTCAGTCGTGAACTACAGAGTAATCGATTTAAAATGTAAAATGATTTAAAAATAAGGGCATGATAAATCGTAAAATTTTATTTGTTTTTTGAAATTTTCGTAAATTTGCGTGTTCAAGTCTAATAATAAAATGTTGACCAATGGACATCACTTTGTATTTATCGGTGAATGCAACGAGGCAACGAACTAAAAAAATCACAAACAGGAATGCCGGATACAAACGGGGAGACAATCAAAATTATTTATATCTTTTTCTAACGCGTACATAAACGTCAGCGTTCTATCTTCCGTCACTGTCGCGCAACCGCCACCACGAAGCGTAGATATAGGTATAGTACAAACATTTTCGTGTTTCGTCTCGTCGAGTTGGTTCCGAGTCGGATAGCTGACGCTACATGTGTTTTGCTGACGGTGTGAAATCGTTAATTACGCGAGTGTTAATAAATTTGATAGCGCTACAATATTTTTTTGTAATTTCTAGTGTTCTCAAATAAAAATGTGTGCGTCAAAACGATTTAACGCGAGCGCAAAGACAGCGTATCTAGGGAATTAAAAAAAAAAACGACTTGGAAAGTTGTGACTCGTTTGCTGTGAATTAATTCAAAAGTTCGCTTGTACCGTGATTTATTTGTTATTACACAGTGATTTTATGTGAAAATGCGAAGAATTTATCGTACTTTAATTGATGTAAGTTTCAACTATTTATATCTAGTATAAAATCATTAAAAACATTTCAATGCTAGCATAAATAAAACAAACAATGAATGAGTATTATAGCATTTTCCTGTAATTAGATTATCAAGTTATTTCTTAGAAGTGAATCATATTTTAAATGGGAGCTGATGCAAAGTACATATCTATTATACAGTACAGTTCGTAAGATAGGAAGAAACAATTGATTTCAAGGGGCCTTACAGCTTAGAGCATCATCCTCCAGGCAACCTAGAGGAATCGTTCAGAATAAGCGGATGATAGTTTTCGTTAATATAAAAATATATATAAACTCATGTGTCTAATAAGATACAAAATTTTCATCACTTTATAATTTTCCTTGTAGCTTGTGTACTCATAGCGTATCTTGTGTCAGTTGTCACACAAAGAGCTTGGCATTAAGCCAAGACGTATCGGTCGTAACTTTGATATAAATCAACAAGTCTTCACAAATATATATTTTTTTCGTTTTGGTCAACAGATATCACAAATGATACGCGAGTAATTAACTTTCAAACTTCACTTATGTTGGCATGCTAAAATGTAGTGTCGAACATAAAAATTGGAACACTTCATTGTACATATAAGCTTGCATTTACATTATTCATTTTAGTGCACTAAACGTGTCGAATACTTAACAATACTCCGTCGTCTACGCTGACCAAGAATATTACAATCGATTGAAAATAGGAAGAAGTTATAAGAATGTTTAGTATTTCAATAGAATTAATTCAATTTTTTTTCATACGTTAGCTGATAGCCTTGAGAGGCTATATCAGCGTCACCTTAACTAGTAGGTGAGCTCACGGGGCTCAAACCTGATGACGCTGCTAACACGAACCCTAGCAAGAGCCGTGCTTCGGAGAATCTACCACCGGTAGAATTAATTCTAACGATTCAGATTGTTAGTGAGTTTCGATTTTAAAAGTAAATAAAAAGAAGCATTTCAATGCTGAATGAAATTGTAACGCAAATTTTCAGTAGCTAGGTTGTGACTGAATTTTTTTTTTTGGGTCCATTGGAAGGAATGACATTTCCACCCATACCGGACCCATAAAGTGTGCTCACTGCAAGTTTTTAACTTTTAGATCACGTAAAAGTTAACTCAAATTTGTATGGAGTTGGAACAGCGCCCCTAGCGGCAGACGAAGGGAAGCAAGTTTATTATTACAAGTATTTTTTCTTACAAGAAAACGTTATCATTTTCTATTGTATTCATAGGTCGTAAAAATAAATACACGGTTTGCGCATTCTTAAGTTATAAGCGGTCTCACACCATATAATTGATAAATCTAGAATTAATTTAGTTAACTCGACATCAAACCGTAAAAGTATTTTTAATTGAGATATATTGTTTTTACTGTCTTGCTAAGGGGCTTTGCCTGGTAGGCAGCGGTCTGTTCTTTCCTGTGGCGATGCTTGTGTCATAGATTTAAATAGACAGATAGCTAAATGGACCACTAAATCATTTTCTTAATTTGGAACAATAAAAATTATGTACTAACATTAAAAATATTTTTACAGTTAGTATATGGCACTCTCCTTGCATCGTACTCCTCATTACTGAGGGTCGTGACTCCCCCGCTGCATCAATCTCTCTTGTACAATTGTCCTCCATCTGTTGCGATGCTTTCGCATCGTGGCATCGATGGCATCGTGGAGCTTGAAGACAAGACAAGACAAGACCGAATTTGGTCCGACCATCTCGTGGGACTGCGTCCTCTGGGACGTTTGTCCTCTATCTTGCCGGTCACCATTGGCTGCTCAAGATTGTGACCCTTCATGACATGATACCACAACCTTAAAATTTTTCGGCCATTATACTATTTCGACGAGCGAACTAATCTGTAGATTTTGTTCATCATTGATCATTCATCATTTGTTTGCCAGTTGGTCGCGATTCCGATCTGGTGGTAGATTCTGCGAAGCACTGCTTTTGTTAGGGCTAGAATATTCTCTCAGGTCGAACGTCCCTGCGTAGCTGTAATAGCCCCTTAGGTTATCAGCGAATCGCTAGAAAAAAAAGATCAAAAAAACAATAAATAAAACTTAAGAGAGATTAGACCGTAAAAGTGCCGGATCAAGATTTTCAATACAGTGTTAAACAGATTTTCTTTTCATTTCTGTTCTATTATAACATGCTAATTATGCACAGTTATACCATGACACGTTTTGCTTAATCAATACGCTTTAATTAGCTTTAGACGTATGTATGTTTGTAACGGAATCTTTGAACATGATTTTGACCCCCTTCAAAACGTCGGATTAACTCGAAATTTGGTATACTCATTAAGGACCGATGACAATTCAATATTAAAAAAAAATTGAAAAAATTGAAATTCAACTAAAAAATGCAAAATCAATAATAGTTTAAAGAAACGAACAAAATACGCTTTTATCGAAAATCCAACATAAAATTTTTAAACTAAATTTTAATAAATTTGAATTCGAAATAGTGTAAGAAAAAGTGATTTTATTGTAAAAAAGCGTGGGGTGCATAGTATCAATAGTTATAAATATTTTATGAACAGATATGAGTAGAAGGGTTATTTTTTACATATGTCCCGTGAATGTACATATGTTACGAGAGCTAGCGACTCTTCGCAATGTAACGGCGGTTAGATGAAGCAGGAAGCTTGCCTTATAACAACAGCATTCAAAAGACAGCTTTGGAAGTATCAAAACTTTACCAATTTTAACGTACATTTTTTTTTATTGCCGTATAGGCAGACGATCATACGGCCCACCTGATGGTGAGTGGTTACCGTCGTTCATGGACGTCAGCAATGCCAGGGGCAGAGCCAAGCCCCTGCCTACCGAGCCAAGCCGCTGCCTACCTTTTGAAAACAGGTTTTTTTCTATTCTTATCTATCTATTTATCTTTCAGCCCATAGGCGTATTCCTATAGCATTAGATTTATATGTTAATTGTGTGAAATAGTTTTCATTGTGGTGATCTAATCAACGCATGCAAATTAATATTGTTACTAAAGCTTTTTAGCAAATTTATTTTATTTATATTAGAAGATTTCGTGTTATTATAACAACGTGTAGGGATATGATTCATTAACTTATTAGGTTAGATGGACAGACGAGTCGCGTGATGATAAGCGACCACCGACGCGAATAGACACCAAAGTTTGAGTGATGCGGACTGACAAGAAATTATTATTACCTATATATTAATACGTGAAGCAAAAACTTTGTATCCCTTTTTACGAAAATTGCGAGGACGGAGGAGTATTAAATTTGACACACTTATAGAGAATATAGAGAAGAAGTGCACAATGCTAATATTTTTTTTAAATAATGCATAAAAGATACATTAAATCAATAAAGAAAACATTACACACACTACATACCATGTATTTGACGCACACACGCATGCATACTATTTATTGTCAAACTTTTGTTCTTGACGTCTGTGGTCAGATTGAGAATAGATTACATATTGTTTGTCTTTGTTAATAATTTTTATAGTGTAGTCTTGGCGAAATTTGTGATTATAGAAGTATAAAATACAATCATAATAGTGTACAAACTTACAATTCCAATTAATTATAGTCGAATTTCGACTACTGCGGGGCCTCTAGTCTATTTTTAATTCAGTAAATTAACCATAACATTTGGTTTGTAAGTATTACTTATAATCTATGTTGGGCAGTCCCTCGATTGTGAAATAATTATCCAGATTGACAACAAATGTCGAAGTCTTGATTTCTTTGATACAAATATTGTCCTATTCTTTAACCGGTAATATAATTCACTTAGATGAAATAGGCAAGGTGATGATAACCATCCGTACGATGTCACTACACCAGTACTTAAGATTCAGGGAATTGGTCAAGTCGGGTATATAGCCCACAGTATCCTAATATTGTGTGACTTGAAAATGTGATATCATGAGGTCTACAATCGGTACAGAGACAATGATAGCGCAGGATTCATTCACAGCTTCCGTTTCTTAAACGGTCCCATCCTTTCAAACATGTTTTAAGATTATCGACTAAGCTGTGTAGGTAGGGTTTTAGTTATAATAAATAGGTTGGGGAAAAAGTATGTATAAACTTGTAACAAAATCTCTTTGTCTATACTATTTGTATCTGGCTGGTTTTGGTATCATTAAAAGTTTAAATTTTAAAGAAGATAATTCCAAATTCAAATTAGGAAAATATGTGATTTTTATTTCTTTTTCTTACTGTCAAGATGAGTGAATCTAATGAAGAAATTCGATACATTTTAAAATTTTACTGCAAAAAAGGTAGAAATGCAACGCAAGCCGTGAAAAAAATTTCGATGCTTATGAACCTAGTGCAGTGTCTGTGAGAGTAGCACAAATTTGGTTTAAGCGTTTTCAATGCAGGACCATCGGGATCACGTCCCTACCTACAAGATGGCAAGAAGCTATCGAACAAAATGGTACCTACATACTTTAGTTAAATGTAAATAAACTATTGTAAAAAATGTTGTGAATTTTCTTAAAAAATGCGAAGAAACTTTTCCCCAACCTTATATGTCTATGAAGCGGGTGTTTAGTGAGGAAGCTTGCCTAATGTCTAATTCCTTTTTGTGTTAATGCATTTAAACGAAATCGCTGCAACTTTAAAAGGATATAATATACTCGTATTGCGCTACCTTCGTCAAAAATGAAAACAAATAACTCAAAATAGTCTTGAGGATTTTCAAAATTAGTTTTTTGTTTTAATCTCGCATGTATGATTTTAATTTTAACAGTAACCCGATAAGACCGAACCCGTTGTCGATAAGAGTGTTTTTTAATATTTTTTTATTGTTTAAATGGATGGACGAGCTCACAGCCCACCTGGTTGTTAAGTGGTTACTGGAGCCCATAGACTTCTACAGCGTAAATGCCGCCACCCACGTATAGATATAAGTTCTAAGGTCTCAGTATAGTTACAACGTCTGCCCTACCCTTCAAACCGAAACGCATAAGCAGGGTGGTGGTACCTACCCGCG